ATTTTAATATGTGAAATGATAACAAAACATACTCATAAAAAATATATTTTCATATATATTAAAAACATTTTCAAAAATAAAATAAAATTATAATTTTAATTATATTTTAATATAAAATATATCAATAAAACATTTACTTAATTTAAATAGAATACAATTATTAATAAATAGACAAGATTTTCTAACATTCGCTATATTGAAAATTATTAATTCTTTTGTTAGACCAGTTTTGGAAGAAAAACAAAGATATGAGTTTACTATCCCTCCAGTTTTTCAGGAACATTTTAAGAATCATAAATACTCGAAATAATGATAAAAATGGATTACCGTTTAAAAATAATTAATAAATGCTCACGAATTATTTCAATAAAATTATTGTTTCAAATAAAACTCAAAGTTCTTTATTGCTTTAAGTCATTTGTAGTACATTCAGTTAATTTTGAAAATGGTCTAAGTCAATTCAAACTTTAAAAACAATAATATCGTATGAAATTCACACAAAATTAACTAAGACTAATAAAATTCAAAATTAAAATGTCGCATAATGTAAAAATATTTTTTAATTTATTCAAATGCAATTCATTAAATATCTTGAAACAAGAAATATATGACTTAGACCACTTTCATAATTATGAGCACAATTATACTCTAGGTTTCTTAAAACCTAAATAATTGGACTTGTATCTTACAAAATAAGAATTGCTTGTTTTGTTAATCTTACCAATAGTTAATGAAGCAAAGAAGTCTACTGCAGCAAGCAAGCTAGTAAGATAATACAGGATTCTATTTCCAGAGTTGACTTACAATTACTTGATTATTGTCGACAGCTTCTATTTTATAGCAGAGCTGAAATATAAAAGGTAATACTAAGTTTGGATTACTCTTTGTATGTCTTTATCTGAAATTAAATATTGCATGTATCTTTGACTAATTATTACAGTAATTCTTGTCATGAGAAATAAAATTATTTCAGTGTTCACATGACTTAGCCTCAATGCATTTTGCCTAGGAAACTTTAAATCGTAGCAGCCGTCAACAATAATATATACTATGTCTTAAGTAAAAAATCAGGATCAGCACAGAATGTTCTTGTCATCAAGTGTATTATATAAAAATTCAGAGGCTTTTATAATTGAAAGAGGAAACTGCTGTAGAAATGTTAAAATGTATGAATGATAATTATAATACCTAAATATTTTTAATATGTTGAATACATTTCGTTGTGACCGTGACATTCAATTGTAAAAAGTACTTTGTTTTCAAAATCATTAAATTAAAATTAATGCATCAGCTTCATTTACTTACAAAATATTTCATATAAAAAGCATTGATTGTATTAGCATTGCAGAATCTTTCTAAAGAATTTTTGAGAATAATTGAAATCCTTCAACAATTTCAAAATAGAATCACATTATTATGCTCGAATCTGATTTATCATAATTATTTTTGTTCATCACGAGCCAGGATAGTTAAAGCAAATGAATGTTGTATTCGCTAGCGATTCAGATAAGATTTCCAATTGATGCGATATAGGCAAATATAGAAAAAATATACACCATTAAAGCAACTCACTAATGAAATTGAAAGACGACCATCTGCATCAAAGCAATATTAATGGTCCTTTTCTCAATAATTTCTCAAACTGCATGAAAACACTCGATATTCATGTATGATCGTATAAGATTTGACGCGCCATTTTTCTTCTCAAATTGTTACTAACCTCAATCAAAATCTGTCATTATGTAGCACCCTTGGGAAAGATCATGTAAACACCTGCCTAAGCTTCGAATCCACAAATAATTCTCAAGCCCATTACATAACATGACTAATGCAAAATACTAATATATACTCGGTCAAACAACCTTTTACTTTGACAGGGTACAATGGCAAAATAAAACGACTAACATGCGGCCACGTACGTACTGGAGTGTCTACTGGCTTCTCAAGATCTTCTTCCCGCGATGGCTGAGATTAAAATGGATTGTGCAATGACGCTCTGCGGACAAAGAAACCTTGAGCATGCTTGAAGTGCCATCCGGTCTCCTGTCACCTGTCATCAGGGTATACAACACCTAGACAATATTAGAATACCCCGTGTTCATACAACACACCACCATCACAACATTTCAAACTCGGACTCATCGGACTGCTCTGATGGAACGCTTTACTGACAAGTTTCTCTAAAGGATAGTGTTGATGAAAAAATATCGATTATTATATAAAAATGCATAAGAAAATGTCAATACACATGAAATTCTACTTTCACTCTCACCATTAATCTGACTTTCCTCTGACAAGTCACCAATCAGATAATGATGAAAGTGAATTCATATAAAAAAAAGTACTAAAGTGTGTTGGTATGTCATTAAAACTTGAGTATTTAATCAGGATGGTACAATTTTAAAAAATCAAGTAAAAAAAATACAGACCTAAAAATAACACAAGAACTGCTAGTGCATATTGCTCAAAATCAGTTCAATTGTTTGCTGCAAGCGCAAGCTCAATATACATGAATTACTGATTGTAGTGCAAATGTTTATGTGCCATGATGATAATATAAGTCAGTAATTCTCATTTGTATGAGAACAAAAAATCTTACAACATATGAGTAGAATACTATTAAATATGAGTAAATTTACTTCACCAAGCTCAAGAATGTTCACTCAAAGTACATTATTTACATATTCATTTCTCGTTTTGGAATTGATTAAGTAAAATAGGCATTAAATATAAAATTACTAGCAAACCCGACGAACTCCGTTTCGCCACCAGATGGTATCGTGAGAAAGATGAGAAATTTTTTTGTTTTATATTTGGAAAGAAAAAATTGGATTTTATTATACAACAGTAATGAATTTATTTCGATTACAAAAATCGAAGTGTTTTTTAGTTGAACTTCTCTAAGTAAATGAAAGTGAATCCGCAAATTAATCGTTTCATTGATGTGCTCTTTGGCAAGCCACATTTTTTTGTTTTTTGGTCTGACGTTAACACAAACAAAGCGGATTTCCAACTCGTGAACAGGCAACGTATAACTGCCCATGTGAAAAACAATGATTTTCTAAATAATCTATTTGAAATTTATCCCGCAAACACTAAGCGATTGGCCTTGCGACTTGTTATTGCAAACGCAAGGCGAACTGGAAATTGCAATCGTTTGAAGTCAAACGGAAGACCGGTCGGAATCATTGGTACCAAATCGCCAGCAATTTTTGATTAAATGGTAAAATTCAGTGTGTATATATCATTATTCTTTGCGGCAAGAATTGCTAGTAGACTTAACCAAGCAAAATTCTGATAATTCTCACTAATGTCATTACTTGAATTTTTAATTACGGTGCGTGAATTTCTAGCAGCTTGCATTAAGGCACGATGCCATGCACAACTAATTTTCTTAGCTATTAACCTTGCGGAGCCCGAGACCTTTCCAACAAATGCAAAATTGTCGAAATCGGTTCGTGAGTTCTGGAGTTATTTTGTCAGGAAGGAAAACCCAACTTATTTTTATATATATAGAAGACTAGCAAACCCGACGAACTCCGTTTCGCCACCAGATGGTTTCGTGAGAAAGATGAAGAAATTTTTTGTTTGTTTTAAATTTGAAAAGGAAAAATTTAATTTTATTATACAACAGTAATGAATTTATTTCGATTACAAAAATGAAGTATTTTTTAGTTGAACTTCTCTAAGTAAATGAAAGTGAATCCATAATTAATTCGCAAATTTTCAACTAATTTTCTTAGCTATAAACGAAACGAAATCGTTTTGTGCGTTCTGGAGTTATATCGTCAGGAAGGAAAACCCGACTTATTTTTATATATATAGAAGATAATCTATTTGAAATTATTTAAAACAGTTATTGATTATTTTTATTATTCGAATTTTTAATTACGGTGCGGGAGTTCCAGCAGCTTGCATTAAGGCACGATGCCATGTACAACTAATTTTCTTAGCTATAAACCTTGCGGAGCCCGAGACCTTTCCAACGAATACAAAATTGTCGAAATCGGTTCGTGCGTTCTGGAGTTATTTCGTCAGGAAGGAAAACCCGACTTATTTTTATATATGTAGAAGATAATCTTTCTGAAATTATTTAAAACAGTTATTGATTATTTTTATTACTCGAATTTTTAATTACGGTGCGGGAGTTCCAGCAGCTTGCATTAAAGCACGATGCCATGCACAACTAATTTTCTTAGCTATAAACCTTGCGGAGCCTGTTACCTTTCCAGCGAATACTAAATTGTCGAAATCGGTTCGTGCGTTCTGGAGTTATTTCGATAGGAAGGAAAACCCGACTTATTTTTATATATGTAGAAGATGATCTTTCTGAAATTATTTAAAACAGTTATTGATTATTTTTATTTCTCGAATTTTTAATTACGGTACTTGAAGTTCCAGCAGCTTGCATTAAGGCACGATGCCATGCACAACTAATTTTCTTAGCTATAAACCTTACGGAGCCCGAGACATTTCCAACGAATGCAAAATTGTCGAAATCGGTTCGTGCGTTCTGGAGTTATTTTGTCAGGAAGAAAACCCCGACTTATTTTTATATATATAGAAGATAATCTATTTGAAATTATTTAAAATAGTTATTGATTATTTTTATTACTCTCGAATTTTTAATTACGGTGCGTGCAGTTCCAGCAGCTTGCATTAAGGCACGATGCCATGCACAACTAATTTTCTTAGCTATAAACCTTGCGCAGCCCGAGACCTTTCCACGAATGCAAAATTGTCGAAATCGGTTCGTGCGTTCTGGAGTTATTTCGTCAGGAAGGAAAACCCGACTTATTTTTATATATATAGAAGATTTTAGCACAAACAACGCACATATTTTGACACAAATATAGATGTATTAAAATGTGTATCTTGGAATTATTGCATAATAAAATAATGATGTTATAAAACATAATTGTCTATACTAACATTCCAGAAAGGTTACTGTAAAATCTAGATTAGTTTATACAGCATATCACTAAAATTAAATATATTGTTCTCAATTAACTTACCATGCTACACAATCGCAAATTTGAAATAAACAATTTATTAATCATTAAAAGTACTACTTAAGCATTCAAGCATAATGACACTCTTTTGATAAGAAGGAAAGTAACAAATTTGATTATATATAATTAATTTTTTTTATATTGATTATATTTAATATACAAATTACAAAGCTCGTTGTTCAGTGCTAATTTGTCCTTGTCCTTTATTTACTTCACTTATGCAGCACCATTGACCTTCATTATTTTCTCTCCATAGGCTGACTTTATTGTCTCCTCCAGATACAGCTAATATATTACTTGTAAGAGACCAGCTTACATTCCATACAACATCATCAAATGTATTTAAAACAATAGGTGTCCAATTCGAATGGGTATCATCTGATGTCCAAATAACAACACGTCTATCTTGAGAACAAGAAGCAATTTGGGATCTTGGAAGGCCTATGCTAGGTGCCCAGGCCACATCCCGTACCTGAAAAGCAAAAGTGTGTTAACACAGAAAAACAAAATATTACCCATAATGAATTTGGAGTGCTACAGTGCAAAGAATTTAAATGACATTACTAGTCATTATACAGTTCACACCTTTGTATAAAGTATTGTAGTTTAAAACCTTGTATTAATAACACCAATTAAAATTCATTTGTATAGTTTATAAAATATTTTATGCAATTTTTATATAAAAAGCTGATATTTTCAATCTAATTACTTCTAAATATTAAATTGCTACAATTATCCACCAAATCTTATTTAATTTCAAAGTATATATATTTCAAACATTGCCTCTGATCTTACCCAATCTGAATGGACTTCTAAACGATGCTCTTCCACCCAGTTATCTCCATTTTCACACCAAACTTTTACTAAATTATCACATCCACCAGTAACAATACGTTTAATAAATTGTTTAGTTGTGGCTGTGCGTCCCTGGAAATCAAATGTGTTTTCAGAACTAACAGCAGGACTCCAGCTGACTGCATTGCATCCTATAGTATGAGCATTGTGGATTTTTTTTACATCCCAATTTCCTGTAAAGATTTTTGTAATTAACATTAGAGTTAGAATTCTGACCAAGTGTATATAGTAGTAATTTATCTTAATTGTTTTTAATTAACAAAGAATTGAATATAAACGGATACCATTTATTCAAGTATGTCACAATAATTTTTAATACATAATGTATTAAAATAATACAGGAATACCCCGTTTAATGCGGGGGATACATTCCATCAAAGTAGAGCGCAATGAAAAACAGCAAAGGAGGCTATCTTTACATATAAATATTGGGGCTAGTAGAAGATAGCTAGAAAATTGGTTTCGATTTATATTTAAAAAATATGTTTTTCTGCTAAAAATAAATCCAAACACTTATTTCTTAAAGGCCAAATTAATATCATATTATTATTTCTTGCACAAATAAAAACAAAATATAATATTCTTGAAAAAAAAAAACAAATAAAATTCTAAGTCAGTCATATTTAGTTAGCCTTCCGCATTTTCAGTGTTTTGCCTTTTTATGACAAAAGCGCCTAATGTTGTTTCACTTTTTCTTTTGCGTTGTTCTCTTAAAAGTTTATCAAAAACAGATAGAGCATCTTTAACACCACGCCTTACTTTAGAGCTTCTGTCAAAATTCGGAACATTTTTAATGAATTGATATATTATTTCAGTTATGGTAGACAAACTTCTTTTTACAAACACCATCGAAAGTTCTTTTTGCTCTTCTGCTGAATCACTGGTGTCAACATTTCGTTTTTCTTCTTGTCAGTTATTTCCTTGAGCTCATATCTTTCTCATTTATCTCTTTAAAACCTGGGTTGAAATAAAAGAGCGCTAAACCGAAACAGCGCTAAAAGATATGGCATTAAACGGGGTATTACTGTATTTATACTGTACAAAACTTTAATTAATATTGTATTACAAAATACAACATTTTAATACATCGTTTTAGCAAAAGAATCAAACCTGTATCAGGATTTCTTGTAATTATTGAAACTGATCCATCAGAGCTTCCACAAGCTAAAATTAATCCTAGATCTGCAGGAGCCCAAGCAATAGAATTGACTGAAGAATCGTGATCATTGTTCTCATACCATTTGATCCATTCGTTGCCATTTTCTTTCCAAACAATAACTTTTCTATCATAGGAGCATGATGCTAACAAGTTTCCATATCTGGGATGAGCCCATGCAACCTGCCACACTGGGCCCAAGTGACCCTTTAAATCAGCAGCCAATGTTTGAATTCCATTTTTAATATCGTAAACTTTTACAGTATTATCCGCAGAACAAGTAGCTAACCGCAAACCATAATAGTCGATTTCTGCATCATGTATCATATCCTCATGAGATGTATCGATGGTGTGCAATATCGAAACCATTTTTTATTTATACCTAAATACTTTTTTATTAGAATAACGTTTGAATCATTTATTTTAAATATTATTCGAACAACCTTTTTCAAGTTTCTGTCAAAATAACCACAAGATACGTTAGACGTGGAGTAGTGTTGCCACAATATAAAAAATGCCTCGTGGTTTTACACGTGTAACTATTTTGATTTCAAACTGTTCATTTGATAGAAAATTAAATTAATTTGACCTGATTTATGTATGTATAAAATTAGAATCAAATTTGCATTAGTAAATTACTAACCAATATACATCATTTTTAAATTTATTTTGGTATTTTCCTTACAAAAAGGAATGAGATAGTCTATCAATAAACGAAATTTACTCTATAAAATCATTTAAAAAACATATTGTCAAACATAAATAACCTAATGCATTGAGAGGGTATTCTAGTGTAGAAATTCATAAAATCGTTTTTTCCTTTTGATTCATATTTCCAAAGTTTAACTATTTAAGAATTTGTGTATGAGAGAATTTTTAAAAATTTGAATTATTTTGGGAGATACAGGTTTGACTATGATAAATTATCATAGATAATCCTCTTATATTTCCATTTTTTTGATAAACTTTAAATTTATTTTTTCTCAGAACTGGCTTTTTCAATAGAAATGCCCACAATTTTATGAGTTCTACTAAACTAGTTGATTACTACAACTAAATCAGCTGATGTACTTGAGATTTTTATAAACTTCTTCTAGTCTCGTTACCAAATTTCAATCTTTGCTGCATAGATAAAAGAAGAGTATTGTAGTAGTGCTTTGCTATTTTCAAAGAACTCGAGAAACTCAAAAAAACTATTTTTGTTTTTACTTTCTTGTAACATTGATAAAAAAGTTAAAAATTGATTGAGCATGCCTTTTTTACAATGATTTAAAAATGACAAACCTCATGCCTCCACAAGAAAATGTACTTGAAACTATAAATAAATAAATTAAATATGTATGTATGCTTGTGGGTATTAAAATAGCATATCAATACAAACTCTTATTTATTAATATATCAATTCAATTACAAATTAAGTTTAAATGTCCAAAAGATAGAACAAAGCTGAAGATATTACTGTATGTTATAAATCACACAATCATTTCTAATTCTCTTGCATATTCAATTGTTTGAGCTACCAATTCAATTGAAGGAAGTGGATCTTCATTCTTTGTTACAGCACTGCCAAAATGGAAAAACTTATCATTTCCCAATTTCCAATTTTTCTACAAAAATGGTATCATTATCATTCAATAAAGACATGTTAATAATAAATATTTATTAATTACTTGTTTGCCATAATCCGTTATTGCTTTTTGAGATGGTAAATTTAATCGTCTTGCAGCTTCTGTTAAACTTATTTTTTGATAAGCCCGCTCTAAACAAGCTGCTATTTCCCCTCGCACTGTATCTAATAAAATGTCCATAAAGAAGTTATAACTATCTGCTGGTACATTGCCCTAAAATAAACTTATTTTATTATTCAGTATTTAAAAGAATATTACATAAGTAATTGATTAATACTTTTGCTAAAAATATTTTATTGTAGCTTCCTTCCATCAAATATTGTTCTAAAGCAAGAGGATGCCTCACATAGGCATTAGTTTGAATTATATTTGCTGGTAATAATTCAAGTTCTGTATGAAATTCCGCAACACGATTTTGTGATAACAGAAATAATAAATTCAAGCCCAATAGCTGGTACATATATGCGGATTCTGGTAATCTACCTCTGAAAAAAAATAATTGCTAATTGAATTTTCATATTTTGAGGATGATTAAAAAATATTATATCATTATAAAACAAAGATAAATGAATTTTGTAAATATATATATATATATATATATATATATATATATACATATAATAGTTTACTTTAAGAAATATGTAGAAGTAGCAGTACCAGAAAATATTTAATAAATAATGTTAATTGTACTCATTGTAGTACAATTAGTATTTAAAGTATTAAAAAAACTGCAGCAAGCATGTAACTATCAATCTTCACCAAGCTATTCTATAATTAACTCGTAACACGGTATAAATGTAAATAATAAATACTATATATATATATAAATGAAAATAATTCTGATTTTTAGAATTAATGATGAAATGTGTAAATGGCTTTATATGCTTTTAATTATAACCTTACTTGTAATCAAAATAATAGCACTTAAGTTGAGACATATATCGCTCAAAAGAAGGAATATCTTTAGCTGAAATGCTATACTGAGCCCCCAATTCTAAAATGTCTCTCGCCAGTAATAACTCTTGTTCAGAGGCAACTGAGTTAGAAGTTGGAAGAAACATTAATTGTGTTAGTCCAACCTAAAACAAGACACTTTGTATTAAGTTTCTTTTTAGTTTCGAATATTAATATATCTATATGACAATGTACCTTTAATTGAGATAAAAGGTTACCGCATTTATCCAAGTTGGGTGTTTTTTTCCCCCATTCTGTTTTCAATTGCTGATATAGTGCAACTACACTATTTACAGCAGCCATTATTTATTTATTAACAATATTTATATGCTTTATAAATTAATATATCACTACAAAACAATTTCTTTGAGTCAAAATGAAATTAGTATTTATTTCTGAATAGTCATGCAATGATGCTTAATACCAACTTGCAGCTTAATGTCAATTCAACTTTAGTATTGCCAGAGCGTATGTATAAATCTTATGAAGAAAAATATTTACCGATACATTTTTAACTAGTGGTGGATGGCATCGTGCCTTAAGACAAATTGCTAGAACTTCCCGTACTAAAAACTAGACTAACAAAAAACTTTTTGAACAATTTGAATTTTCTTTTTATATTTTGAAATTTTTTGAAAATTGTGATCATTTTTTTAAAGCAATCCCGCTGCATAACTGTTTTAAAGTGGTTGGTAAACACTTTGTGTATATAAATTAAACAAAATATGTATTTATTATTAAAATCTTTATAAAATATCTGAAAACATGATCAGAACAAATCGGACGTTCTCTCAAACACAGAAATATCATTTTTAGGCACTTTTTGCCCCGTATCTTCGAAACGGTTTGACCTGATTTTGCCAAAAACTAATCAGCACGCCATCTTATCAATAGGAATCGAATGCTTTTTGAATTATTCAAATCGGTTGATCTGTGTTCTCAAAATCATTCACAAAATATTGTATCCGCACGCACACACACGCACACATACACACACCTACCATTTTTTCTTCACCAAAATGTTGAAAAACCTTTGAAACCTTTGAAAAAAAATTCATTTTAGATTTTTTTGCGATTACTATAACTTACCCTAAGAAGAATTAAAAAAAAAAAGATTTAATCGTTTATTATAAACGTAACTAGTGGTGCATGGTATTGTGCGTTTAGGCAAATTGCTGAAACATTCAATACCAAAAATTAATTTCTGAAAAAACAAATTTTTATTTATATTCAAAAAATTTATTCTAAAAATATTTTTTTGATTTGAATACATTAATAAAATTAGATCTTTGAGAATTTTTGAAAAAAAGATTTCTTTAGAAAAATTTAATTTTGTTCATATTTTGACATTATTTGAAAATTTTGAGCTCTTTTTGATCACCTATTTCACTAGATCTCTGATCATGCTTGACCGTTGCCTTCCCAAAAATTCAGTCAGTTTATTTTGTCAATACAACTAAACTGTTTTTTGAATGATTGAAATCGTTCTCGTTTGTTCTCTAAAAAACTGAGTTACCATTTTTGGTAACATTTTTGCCTCGTATCTTTGAAACGGCTGGAACCTGCTATGGCCAAAAACTAATCAACACATCTCCTTTTCAATAGGAACCAAATGTTTTTGGAATTATTCAAATCGGTTGAACCGTGTTCCTGAAATCGTCGAAGATAATTTGTATCCAAGCACACACACATACACATACATCATTTCTAAGGTATAGACAAGCACAGAATAATCGTATTTTGAATAAAAATACGTTAAGTCATCCTGAATCGAATGAGACCAAATTCGGAAAAAGTATGTGTGTGTATGTATGTGTATATGTGACAGGTTTTGTTTAAGCTAAATATATCAATCTATTTAAGTCCTAAACACTATTTATTAAATAAATAATAAATTAGAAATAATATTCCCTTCAATTGAAAAATTTCAATATGCTCTTTGCTTTAAAAAAACTGCCGATATCAGGCGGCAGAAATGTTCGCAAAAGTTGAGAGATAAAATAACAACGTAGATAAATCTACGACACAAATCAAGTTGTTACGATATAAATCTCAAATCTTTAACAGATAGCGGTATCAACAAAGGAGTTTATAATACAAAGAAATTTACCGATACTTAATTACAATTATTTTTATATAACATATTCTGTGAATTTCACTGATTGATATCAATAGTCTTTGTAAACATTACGTTTCAAAGATTAGATTAGTGAAAAAACAGCAAAGAACAACCCATAGTTTCTTTTAATACATATAATTTGAATATTTAATTTAAATAAATGAATTTTATTATATTTGGTTTGGTTTATTACCTCCATATCAT